AATTAATCATTTAATACATTAATATATTAAGTTTTTGGGGAGGTCACCTCCTAATAAATGTCCTTACAGAAAATCTAACTGCTCATTTTAAATCAATACTTTTACTTTTAATACTTCAGTACAAATAATATCAGACTTTGGTATAATTACTTTTACCAAAGTAATTTTTTGGTAAGATACTTGTACTTTCACTCAGTATCAGTTTGTGGTACTCTAGAACAGTACTTACTGCAGCACAGAGAACATAAAACGCAGGGCAGAACACAGAAGTAACACTTCCTGATTGGTTCAGAGGAAGTGATGCGAGCGCTCACCGAACTGCTGAGAGGCGGTGTTCCCAGGTCGCGGGCGGTGACCGTGATGTTGTAAAAGGCCACTCTCTCTCGGTCCAACTCCACGTCCTTCCTCACCCGAAGCTCGCCGTCCACGGGAGAAATGGTGAACTCGTCTGAGGGAGAGACAGACACCTCAGAGACCAGGAGCCAACACAAACAAACAAACAAACAAACAAACAAACAAACAAACAAACAAACAAACAAACAAACAACAAGCTGAAACTCACTCTGGAAGTCTCCGGCGGTGATGCTGTACTCCACTTTGCCATTCAGACCCGAGTCTGCATCGCTGGCCTGGAGGGTCCAGACTCGGGGCCCCGGCTGACCCTCCGTCACATCGAAGGGACCCTCGTAGCTGCGGGGGAAGGTGGGCGTCACGTCGTTAATGTCCAGGACGTTCACCAGGACCTGAGAGCAGCAAACATCACAGTTTTACARCTAAAACAAGCTGAACACTAGCTGAAAGCTAAAACAAGCTGAACATAAGCAAGAAAATACTAGCTAATAGCTAAAAGAAGCAAAACTCAAGTTGAAAGATAAAGCTGGCAAAATGCTCGCTGAAATCTAAAAGTAGCAAAACAGCAAATAAAAGTAACTAAATGTTAGCTAAAAATTATGTGTCAAAAGTAAAGCTAAACCTTAAGCAGCCAAACTTTAGCTAAAAGTAGCAAAACACTAGCGAAAACTAAGAAAATGTAAGTTAGAAGCTGAAAACACTATAAAAGCTAAAGGGAAATGCTAGTTGGAAGCTGAAAGTCGTGATCTCATCTAAAAAATAAAAGTGGCAAAAAGCTAACTAATACTGTGATGTAGCAAAACACTAATTAAAAGTAGCTAAACATTTGCAAAAATATAAGTGTCACAAGAAAAGTAAAAAAACCAGAAGGAGAATGTTAGCTATGACTTAAAAGTAGCAAAATGTTAGCAAAAAAGCAGCAAAACGCAAGCTAGAATTGTAGGACTTTGCTGAAATGTATTGAAGGTGAAACTGAGACATTAAAAGGTAAAAGAAATAAAATAAAAGCTGAATTGAATAAAACAGTAAAAATCTAAAACAAGCAAAACAGCAGCCAAAAGTTAAAATTAGCTTTAACAGCAGCTAAATCCATTTGAGCTTTGTGAAAATACTTAAATCTGCAAACGAGCAAATACCTAAAACTACCAAAACAATAGCTAAAAGCTAAACATGGCAAAAGATAGAAACCAGATTTAAGCAGAAAACGGTTTATAAAATGTTTTAATGTATTTTAACGTTGAAAATGTTGATAAATAAAGTTCTTGCAGTAGCTTTGATCAGCAGAACCGTCTGCCGGTGTTACACCATATTTTGTGACCGTCATATATTGCGACCAGAGGGGGCGCTGTTGTGTTTCTAGAACAGAACTTGGCCGAACATGGCCACAAAGAAGAATATGATGCGCCAACAGCCAGAGGCTGAAGACTTTACGGAGAAAACAACTAAAACTCTTGATTATTTTACATGGTCACAGAATACGACAGCTTGTCATATATTGTGACTTCACTGTAGCTAAGGAAATAGTAAAGATTTTATTCAAAAACAATTGTTTACATCCTCTAATGTCAGAAAAATAACTTTTGATCACTGACATGGTGACTGTTATTAAATTAGTACAGGGTCACATAATATGGCAGCTAACATTTATAGTAGTAATAGTAATAGTCAACATGTCAGTGATCAGAAGTTATTTTTCTGACAGAGGATGTAAACAACGAGTAGAATCAGTTTATGAATAAATATTTTTATTATTTACCAAGTTACAGTGAAGTCACAATATATGACAACAGTTGTCATATTTTGTGACCTCTGGCTTACACTTTTGGATTATCATGTTCTTCTTTGTGGCCATTTTTGGCAAAGTTCTGTTGTAGAAACACAACAGCGCCCCCTCTGGTCATAATATACGACGGTCACAAAATATGGTGTAACACCGGCGTCGCTGTGATCAACGTTAAAACGTGTTCGTACGGTTGTGCTGGACGTCAGGCGTAGAGCAGGTTTGGGACACTGATCCGTGGCGGTGACGACCAGCAGGTAGTGTCCGTTGCTGATCTCGTAGTCCAGCTCCTTCACGGCGCTGATCCGACCCTGCAGAACCAGTCACAGCAGGTCACACACGGGTCCGACCGGTCCCACCGCAGCACCACAACCAGAGAGTCTCACCGTCAYGTTGTTGATGGTGAACGTGTCCACCAGGTTGCCCCTGGCGATGGCGTACCGCAGGGTGCCGTTCGGACCCTCGTCCGGGTCGACGGCCGTCACCGTGGCGATGGTGGCGCCCACCGTCTCCGGCCCCTCCCTCAGCACCGTGACGTACTCCTCCTCCGGGAACTCCGGGGCRTTGTCGTTCTCGTCCACCACGTGGACGTTCACTGTGGTCGAAGCCTTCGGAACAAAGACAAAATAAATAAACAAATAAATAAAAACAGGAGAAATAAATAGATTATTAAAGGTTTAATGGTGACGATACAGGAAATACACAATCCTAGRTCACAAGTTCAACCCTCCTGCTGTCCTCGGGTCAAAACCACCCGGAGGCCTGACGCAGGATATAAGAAACTAAATTATTACAATTATTTAAATATTGATGCTTATTTTGTCTTCAAACTACAGATGACAAATACTTTGTTTACAAACAGAAACAACTGAAGTGACTGAAAACTGGTCAACAACGGTGACGACCACCAAACATTTCAGATGAAGACTGTTGACAATTTGAAAGTTTTGTTTTTGGATTTACRTCCAAATTTGTTGCGTAAAAGATGCAGATTCAGGGCTTTGTTTACACTGAGTGCAGACCCGCAGAACGTCTGGTCTTAAATTAAAGTTTTTAGTAAAGTTCAGTGGGTTCGATTTGTTTAATTGATCTAAAGAAATATAAAATATGCAGATGCTTTGATTTTTCATTCATTATTCAAAAACTTTGTTCACTTCTTTAAAACAAAAATAATTCTATGTGCAATAAAAACAAAAACACAAATACAAAGAAATGAAAAGCAGCAGAGAGAAGAAAACAAAATCTTATATCTGCTCCTTTTTTCCTCAAGTATAAACGTAAACAATAATAAGCTTTGTTTACATTGAATGCAGACCCATATTTCAGAAACACTAATCTATATATTGGTTCTTAAATTTGAATTTTCAATGAAGTAGAGTGGGTTAAATTTGTTAAATTATCTAAAAAAAATTAAGAAATGTAGATGTTGTAATTATTTTGTTATGTCAATTGGTTCTAAATGAGATTAACTGTTTATTAAATTAAATTAGAAAACCAGTAATGTTAATCCAACTTAATAATGTTGAATAAACTGAACTAAAGCGGCATAAATAACTTCTAGAATCTATTAATCTTAACAGCTTTAAGTTAAACAAACTTGAGTTTACAATTTGTTTACTTATTATGTTAAAATACGTAAAACTCTTTAATAAAATGTCCTGATGCATCTCAGTAATCCAGGTAAAAAATCAAAAAGAAAAAACTTGTTTAGGTCTTCTGGACGGGTTCTTCTCTAATGAAACGTTTCGTCTCTCCTCCAAGAGACTTCTTCAGTCTGAGAGTTTCAGGCTAAATTCAGGCTTTTAAGCCCCGCCTCCATGTGACTGATACTCACATCACATGGCTATCGTTAACACCTAATTAACACTTATTGTTAACAGGGGGTGGAGTGATACTGGCAATAGCAGCACTGTAGGAGGGGGGCAACTGAAAACGGAGGCCTCCACCTCTGTTTAATGATGGACGGTCTTTCTTCACAAAAATGGCTTCTTTTACTCCTCTCTCAAACCAACGTTCCTCTCTATCAAGAATKAGAACATCCTCATCTCTGAAAGAGTGACCGCTGGCCTGTAAATGAGTGAAAACTGCAGAGTTCTGGCCATTAGATGTAGCTCGTCTGTGTTGGGACATTCTTTTGAACAGTGGTTGCTTTGTTTCCCCGATGTATAACTGGTCGCAGTCCTCCTGGCACTTAACAGCATATACAACATTGCTCTGTTTGTGTATAGCCATGTGATGTGAGTATCAGTCACATGGAGGCGGGGCTTAAAAGCCTGAATTTAGCCTGAAACTCTCAGACTGAAGAAGTCTCTTGGAGGAGAGAYGAAACGTTTCATTAGAGAAGAACCCGTCCAGARGACCTATACTATTTTTTTCTTTTTTTTCTTTAATAAACTCAGTTTCCTGGAGCAAACTCTCTCAAACTAAATTGTTTTTGATGGATTTCATAGTAATGACAACCTTTAAAGATTTCACAACACTAGAAAATAAAAGTGAATGTTCCTGACACAAACACCAAGAGAACAAAAAATAAAAAAGTTTGTTCAAAATCTAAAATTCAAGTAAAATAAAATAAAAACTCTTCATCAAACCACTGAAAGCTTTCGACGTAACAAAGAGGAAATTCTTGTAAACTCAGAACTTTCACTTCACTTCTCATTTCACAAAAACTGGAAGTTCTGCAATTTATGTTTTTATGACTTTTGTTCCTAAACAGAAAGAAATAAAGTTAGCAACAACAGGAGACTTTAAATCTTCCAGGATTTTCTTTTCCTGAAAACATTTTCTGTAGATTATTTTTCTAGACTTTAAATTATTTATTTTGTTTCTAAAAYAAGTGAAATCACAATTTGAATTTATTTATTTTAAATAAATAAATAAAGAGCTTCAGAAAGTCTTAATACTGATTCGTTTGCAGGAATTAGACGGTTCCGTTTTTGACGCAGCCGTTTCTCATTTAAACTGTTCATTTCACGTAAAATCACGGTTTTATCGTGCTGGCTGCAGGTTATTATGGGATGGCAGAGCTTCAGTTTTGGCGGCAGGGCGCAGAGCGCGCGGCAGGGCGCAGAGCGCGCGGCAGGGCGCAGAGCGCGCGGCAGGGCGCAGAGCGCGCGGCAGGGCGCAGAGCGCGCGGCAGGGGGCGGAGCGTCTTTTTACGCACGTTTCCTTCCTCCTTCAGCGCGCAGCTCAGAACGCGGAGCGCACGAGAGGAGAACAGTCGTGTCCTCGTGAAGTTGTGTCAGAAGTTGAGACGAAAATCCGGCCCGGTTCCAGGTCCAGTCAGCCATGGCGCGGCGAGACTCGGAGCGCACGTCTGTGTGGAGAGGACGGTTCTGGCTGGTGTCGGTTCTGTTCGCCACAGCTGGAGGTAAGAACGGGTCCAGATGTTTCTTTCCTGAACTTTTTCTTAATTTTAAAGAGAAAACTGTAACCTGAGAGCTTTTCTCCTCCTTCCTCCTGGATTTTAATCTTCCTCACAGCTTCAAACACTTTGTTGTTGTTTTGAGACGAAACATCTGGCGCGTAAAGCCGTCTTTTACCTCCTCCTCCTCCTCCTCCTCCT